ACATTATTCGTCTTGTTGAAAAGTACGATCTAAGGGTAGGTTTCTGAATAATTCCCATTAGCATAAACAGACCCAGTAGAACATAAATCTCTCCCTCACTCACAGGCTTCCATGCCCTAGCCGGCGATCTCACAGGCAGATCACGCCCGCATAGGAACTGCTCTGCATATCTGTTTGTTTCAGTAACAATTTTGTTCACTATCTGTTTGTCAAAAAATAATTCAAATACATCCACAATTTCCCCCACATTTAGTGCGCCACCTTGCGGTCCAACAATGCCCGTGAAATGTTCACGTTGTCCCTGGTAATTTTCCATACTCTCCCAAACGAAAGCTTGCGTAGAACCTTCATCGTTGTCACTGACATCGTGTATCACACTATCAAGCAACGCGCGATCGTCTAAGTCGACATCTGTGTCATGTTCTGACTCCGAAGCCGAACTTTCTTCCTCCGAACTGGTTTGAAGAAGAAGTTCTGATTCCTTGTCATGCAACACAGCTGATCGGCTCCTACTTGTGCTGGCCATGGCTACAGTCAAACTGCCTGATTCTATTTATAGAGCAAAGGGTATTCCTATAGTGAACTGTTAGTTTATATCAGAGCACACAGCCAGTCATAATAAACTTCTCTCAGATGTCAACACTGCGCCTCATCAAAACACGTGGTGCACAGTTACTAGTGGTTCGAAATTCTAATGAAGTAGCAGCACTAAATAAAGTCTCGTTGAAAGGTCTCGACTGCTCATTTGAACCAACATTTCAATTTACTTCATTGGTATTCCCCAAGATGGAAACATATAGACGGAAATAGAGCGCTGTACTCGGAGAGTTACAAAACTTCTTCAAAGAATTCAACTGTAATAAAAATACCGCGCAAAGTTCAAAGTGGGACGACTATACGAAATGATAGCTTGAAATTTCCTCTTCAATTTCATACAATCAGAATTTTTTTACGTGAAAAATAACAGTTCAAAAGACGAGCTGAAACAGCGCTACACCACCACCGTGCATAGCACCGAGGTGGGTGACAGGTTTAAATAACCATGTCGGTGCAAGGCACCGAGTTTGGCATTCAAGGGTTAAATCTATATAAGTTATGATACTTTGATCTTCTCTCACATTTTACATCACGATGTCTATACATATTCCATTTTAAGATAAATGTCTGATCAGAATTTTTTTTTGCACAATTAAATGGAAGAAACATACCCACAATGAAGTAAAGAAAGATATCTCGAACATTTCTTAGAGCTACGACAACGCAATGCACTTGAATGAATCTCACGGTCTGGAGGCTGGAGTAGAAAGTCACTTTCATCCATTTCAAAGTCATGCTCATCTGAGCTGATTCTCAAGGGTACTTCCTCCATACTGCCCACTTCAGATGATCCTGAGAAAAGAACAAAATTCTGCTGTCACTGTATCATATCAAATAACAACACAAAAGCCCATCAGACCTTGTCCTGAGCTAGCTCAAGCCAATCCAAATTGGAATGCTAGTTGTTATGCATACTTTTCCACTATTTAACAATAGTAATATTTAATGTTTACCATGATTCATATTTACTGCTAAAACAACTCAATTATATGCAAAATTTGTAATGGAATCCCACAATGTCAAATGTTATTCAGGAGATCCTTGCCAATAAATTCCCTTCTAGTCACTTCTGAAAAGAACTGAAGCCTGGAAATTTGAAAGTACTGTTACACGTTAAACTCTTGCCCCTTTTTCAAATCGCTCTAATTTATAAACTTCAAAGTAAGAGAGCTATACAATAATTATTTCATATATCTTAATTTTTGTACTCTGGAAAATATGCAAGGTGCTAAAGAGACTGAAGATTTTTGCAGAATTGAGAATTAAAATATTGGTGATTAGATCACACCATGTAGTTTTGTATGTGGTTACCACATGGAACAGTTTACATAATCCAAAAATCCATAGTCTTGAGGTATTACAAGTTTCTCAACTATGTAACTAACAAGCAGTGTACACTGAAAGAGCTGCTGAGCATGAAATAATTAAGTGTAACTGATATCCATTAACTGTGAACACTCTACTTTGAGATGTATATTACTTAATTATAGTGCCTAAGTACCAAATGTATGTTCAACAAAGGGGGAAGAAGAAAATGCTTTACTATATCTGTCTGCTACATCATTCTCCCAGCCCTACAGATTACCTCCTACTAAATCTTGTACATGGTTTAACTGATTCCCTTCAATACATCAGTTTACAACCTGACAACCCACAACTCATCAAATGACTACAAAAACCATGCACTTTCATCAACAAATTTTCGAAATTTTGATAATTACATTTACTGGCACTTAATATCTGAACTATTTCCCTATACTATGAATGAAGTAGAGCACTGGGCAGTTTTAAAGATAGTTTTGTGAAGAGGGCAGAGTGGTCTGTTGTTAAATCTTTGATGATTCACACCATCTCCTTTAAGACCCCTAGAAGAAAACCTGTTTTTATAACTGGGAATTTTCCATTTGGCCTTTGGCCCATCACTTTATATAATTTCTTTAATCTCTATTTCATTCATTAATTACAAACAACACTACTGATTTTAATAAATACTGGCAATCAATGCAGAATTTACTAAATAATAAATTTTCATAAGTACTGCCATTCTGCTTCTCATTTTAATATATACATAATTATCTCAGGAATGTTATATTTTAGCGTCCTGTTGCACTGATTTAAGTCCATGATTTATTTAAACCGTCTTGCAGTGCATACACTCATTTATCTCCTTCTCTCTCTCGCACTACATGTTTCGGCATAATAATGCCATCTTCAGGTGCTTACTTATCCACGCCAAACTAGTTCATTGCATGCCTTGTCCTCATATTAAAATAACTAAAATATGTATCTATCATATACATTGTCAAACGTTAAAAATATTTTTAACGTTTGACAATGTATATGATAGATACATATTTTAGTTATTTTAATATGAGGACAAGGCATGCAATGAACTAGTTTGGCGTGGATAAGTAAGCACCTGAAGATGGCATTATTATGCCGAAACATGTAGTGCGAGAGAGAGAAGGAGATAAATGAGTGTATGCACTGCAAGACGGTTTAAATAAATCATGGACCTATCTCAGGAATGATTAACCTTTCCATAGATTCAAACAGCATACAAAATGATCTACAATAAAGAATGGGAACATTGTTCATTCTGCATTCACATGTAATGTTACTTATAATTACACTACAGAAAATCTTTACCACAAACAGTTACCTTCAAAACTCTCCCTTCATTAAAGTAAGATACGTGGGGCAATCCAAAAGTTCCTGAAATTTGAATTTTGCGCGCGAATGGTTATGAGCACATCGAAATACCGCTAGGTGTCTCCTCACACATCCTTCTTGAATCAGTGTGGCAAGCGGCGTCGAGCTGAGTGGTTGGGTTTATTGTTGGTGAACGTATTTCCATTCTTGTTTCCGTGAGTTTGCGGTTTTGCGATGGCTGACATGAGAGAGCAGCGTGTCTGTATAAAGTTTTGTTTCAAACTTGGGAAAACTGCTGAAGAAACGCACCAAATGTAGAAGCAAGCTTTCGGTGACAACAGTTTAGGCCAGACAAAAACTTAGGACTGGTATAAGGGTTTGAAAAATGGCCAAACATCAACTGATGATGACGATCGTTCGGGACGGACGTCAACTGGCACCACACCAGAAAATGTAGTGAAAGTTAGGGATTTAATTCTGCAAGATCGTAGAGTGACCATCCAAGACCTCTGTAACACCTTGGGACTAAGTTATGGTACATGTCAACGAATTTTGTCAGAGGAACTGAACATGAGGAGGATTGCGGCAAACTTTGTGACACAACTGCTGCAAAATGAACAGAAGCAGCATCGCTTGGAAGTCTGCACGGAACTTCAGCAACAGCTTCAAGAGGATCCAATCTTTCTTTTGAAGGTTGTCACTGGTGACGAAAGTTGGGTTTATGGCTACGACTCTGAAAGCAAGCAGAAATCGTCGCAATGGAAGAGCCATTCTTCACCTCGGCCAAAAAAAGCTCGACAAGTCAAGAGCAACATTAAGTCCATGTTGATCTGTTTTTTTGATATTGACAGGATTGTTCGTAAGGAGTTCGTCCCTCCTGGTCAGACAGTCAATAAAGAGTTCTATCATGATGTTCTAAGGCGTTTGAGGGAGGACATGAGGAGAAAACGTCCAGAGAAGTTGCGGCACGAATGACTGGGTACTCCACCATGACAACGCACGACCACATACGGCTTACAGTGTGTAGCAATTTTTGGCTAAAAACAAGATGGCAGTTGTTCCCCACCCACTGTACTCGCGAGATTTAGCTCCATGCAACTTCTTTCTCTTCCCCAAGATGAAAATCAAGTTGAAGGGGCGAAGATTTGATACAGTTGAGGAAATTCAAGAGGAAACGCAGATGGTACCAAATACACTACCAAAGAAAGACTTCAAGGATGCATCTGAAAAGTGGCAGAAACGCTGGGATCAGTGTATGCGCTCCCAAGGGGACTACTTTGAAGGTGATGGTGCAGAATAAGATCTAGGTAAGATGTAATAGTTTTTATTAATATATTTCGGGAACTTTTGGATTGCACCACGTATTTATTGATGCTGTCAGTGTAGAGACTACATAGCATCAATGCTAGGATGATTAATTAGTGAATGTGGAGCAGTAAGTGGAATGTTAACTGGCATGGGAAATGAAGTAGTTAGATAAAACCCACCCCAGTGCCACTTTGTTCACCACAAATCCCACATGACCTGACCCAGGATCAAACTCAGGCCACCACAGCTGGAAGCCAATGAGCTATGGCATAGCTGTGAACACCATATTTCACATACCAACCTACTGTACAAATTTGAGTAAAGCAATTTTTACATTCAGACCAATTCAGAACCTACTGTTGTTACTTTTGTTCTGTTTTCCACTTAATAATATTACAGATATACCTATTGTATAAAAAATGACTTAAGTATGAGGGTTGGAACTTCAATAGTGGCAACTATTTATTACAACTGATACAAAATGGATGCATGTTTCCAAGTTTTACTGTCCTTCAATGTAGTCACCAGCACTGTGTACAACCTATTGCCAGCGATGTGGAAGTCGTAGGATACCTTTAGTAGTGCCTGTTGTGTTGATAGTTCGAATGGAGCGGTCTACTGCATGAAGAATCTCTGGAACAGTTCTGAGGCTAATGCCACGAAGTGGTTCCTTCATCTTAGGAATCAAGTCAAAGTCACAAGGGCTTAAGTCTGGGGAGTATGGTGGATGGTACAGCACTTCCCAGCCCCATTGATCGAACAATTTAGCCACAGCTTACCATTTCTGCATTTCCGTCAGATCATGCGGAACCCATCATGATGCAATTTTTCTCATGCCCAGGCGTTCCTTCAGAATGTGAAGCACAGTCACATGTGCTAATCCTGTCTCTTGGGCCAGCTGACGAATCATATGGCGTCGATCACTCTCCAGTAATGCGGAAAGAGCATACACTTCTTCTTCACTGACACGACCTGTCCGACACGTCTGCCACATTTTGGCATCCCTCGTTGAAGGCTTTTTTACCCACCTTGCCACCCTTCTGTAAAGCAACGCAGATTCCCTGCAAGCCTCTTGAAGACCTTGATAACACTGCCGTGCTCTGTGGCCTCTGGCATATTCAATCTTTATCCAACTCCGTTGCTCCTGTTTCGAAAACATCGTGACAACACTACATTAGACTGCCAGCTAACACAAGGCTCTGTTCTTCTTGTCACTGCACATGCGCGTGATGTGGGAAGGGAGAGTCCATTTGCTCTGAGGTAAGGTAGGTATGTAACTAATATGTGGTATAAGCGACATTATTTGGTTCCATTGCATGGCGTCTCTACAGCACTGTTGCCACTATTAAAAGTTCCAACCATTGTATGAAAGATGACATCACACTGCATTTCAGCATTTAATATTTCGTTGTCTTCTTCAATATCAATAGGATTGAGTGCTGGAAGTTAGGTTGTAAATACAGCTATACAGACTGAATTATACTGTCAGTATTTATTTAACTCCATCACAGGGTCTTAAATGAGAAACTGACAGTTACGCATATCATCAAAATGTACGTTTAAATACAAACGAAGAATTTAACTTCACTAGAACATGGTCATGTTTATGAACCACGTAACAGTACCAAAAAATTGTCACAAGAAACTATACCGTAATTGAAACCCATGTTAGGTGGGTCTCTCGTCACCACAGCATGGTGCGCCCTCAGGTTGCAGACGGAGGAGGTGCCCTCTAGGTATGGAGGGAAGTTGCAAATGTACTAAATAAGTAGTCGTGAACAGCCAACAAGGGGTGGTCCTCCAGCTTGGGGGTTGGGCGTGGGGCTAACAACTCAACATAAAAAATAACCTTGTTACTAAAATGCACACAAAGCCTCGGACCTGGATGGATCCTCTGGATAAATGACGTAGTCTAAAGAAAATGGACAGGAGATTTGGTACTTGGAATGTTAGATTTATAGGGCAGATTCACTCAGGACAGTGGCGGAAGAAAACTCAGAATATGAGTTAGATTTAGCGGAAGTACAGGAGGTCAGATGGGATGGTGGTAGCATCAAACCAGCAGGCGAATATACATTTTTCTATAAAAAGGGGAATAAAAATCATGAATTAGGTACAGGTTTTTTCATAGATAAGAGAATCGTATCAGCAGTTATATAACACACACACATATATATATATATATATATAATACTAAAAGGTCGCTGGTGTAATATCATCATTACAAATGTTCACACACCAACAGAAGATAAAACTGATGACATAAAGGACAGGTTCTATGAAGAACTAACGTGTATTTGATAAATTCCCAATGTACCATATGAAAATTTTGTTAGGAGATTTCAATGCCAAGGTAGGGAGGGAAGACATCTTCAAACCAATGACTGTGAATGAGACTTTGCATGAAATTAGTAATGATAATGGAGTAGTAAACTTTGCCACACTGAAAACTCTTACTGTCAAAAGTACAATGTTCCCACACCATAACATCCATAAGTTTACTTGGACATCTACTGATGGGAAGAGAAACAATCAAATTGACCATATTTTGATAGCTAGGAGAGAGCATTCAAGCATACCTTATGTCCAATCATTCAGGGCAGCAGATTGTGATACTGACCACTACCTGGTGGTGGCAAAGAATAGGGAAAGACTGGGAGTGAGCAAACAAACAACGCACAGAATTCATATGGAGAGGTTTTTCCTCAAGAAATTAAACGAGTTACAGTGTAAAGAGCAGTATCATGTTGAAACCTCAAACAGGTTCCCGGCTTTGGAAAACTTCGACACAGAGGTAGAGGTTAATAAAGAATGGGAAACTATTAGAGAGAATATCAAAATTTCTGCAAGGAGAGTCTAGGTTATTATGAACTGAAGAAGCATAAGCCATGGTTCAATGAAGGATGCTAAAAATTATTAGACCCAAGACAACAAACCAAACTGCATCGGTTATAGGATCCAAGTTAAATAAATGGGGATAATCTGAACAACATTAGATGTGAAACCAGCAAGCATTTCAGGAATACCAAGACGGATTATCAGAAAGACAAAACTGATGAGCTTGCAATGAACAGTAAGAACAAGAACATTAGAGACTTGTATAGAGGTATAAATAATTTTGAGAGAGGTTACCAATCTAGCAGTAACTTAGTGAAGGATGAGAATGGTGATCTGCTTGCAGATTCCCAAAACATTTTAATAGGTGGAAGAACTACTTTTCTAAGTTACTGAATGTACATAATGTGATATTAGGCAGGCACAAATTCATACAGATGAGCTGTTAGTACTTGATCCTAGCACTTTTGAGGTTGAAAGTGCTATTGCATAATTGGAAAGGTATAAATCTCCAGGTAGTGATCAAATTCCGGCAGAATTTATTCAAGCGGGAGGCGAAATATTATGTTCTAATATCCATAAGCTATTACTTCTATTTGGCATAAGGAAAAATGCCTGATCAGTGGAAGGAGTCTATTACTGTACCAGTTCACAACAAGGGTGATAAAACTGACTGTAGTAATTATTGGGGGAAATCACTGCTGTCAACTTCATACAAAAATTGTATCCAATATTCTTCTCTCAAGGTTAAGTCCATACATAGATGAAATTATTGGGGATCATTAGTGTGGGTTTCTATGTAACAGATCAACTATGGATCAGATCTTTGCATTTGTCAGATATTGGAGGAAAAATGGGAGTACAATGAGACAGTACATCAGCAATTTGCAGACTTCAAGAAAGCCTATGATTGAGTTAGGAGGAAGATATTGTACAACATTCTGATAGAGTTTTGGATATCCATGAAACTAGTTAGGTTGATTAAAATGTGTTTAAATGAAACGTATAGTAAAGTCCATATAGGTAAACATTTGTCTGATAAATTTCCTATCCCGAATGGTTTAAAACAAGGAGATGCTTTATCGCCACTACTTCTCAACTTTGCTTTAGAATATGCCATTAGGAAGGTCCAGGGAAACCAGGTGGGACTGAAATTAAAATGGACACATCAGCTGTTGGTCTATGCTCAGGATAGGGACCAGTGGAGGGCTTTTGTGAACATGGTAATGAACCTTAAGGTTCCACAAAAGTCTGAGAAATTCTTGAGTAGGTGCAGAATCCACGGCTCAAGAAGGGCTCAACTCCACTAGTAAGTATATATTTATTGAAACACTGTTCAGTGATCCTAGAAGTCTTCCAGGTTTCATTATTTGTATTTTTTATGTAACACTGCAGTGGTAGGACAAAAAAATGGCAATATGTATACATGGCGATCAAGTAATAAGTGAAATGAGCTATGCACCAGTCATACAAACTTATTTTAACACCTGTAAAAGTAAAAAATTTGGGGAGGAAACATAAGGCCCAATGTAACATTATGATTATATATTGTTCCTTATTCCTTAAACAATTTTTCAACACAGTGTAAAGTCTGGCAATGATATGTCAACACATAAGGTTTCATGTCCAAACAGAACTTGTAACATATTTAATAAAACCTTTGTAGAAACTGTTAACAATCTAATACTTGATAAAAACTTAATCCACCCACAAACCATTAATAATATTGATAGCTTAAAAGACTCATTTGTTTTGCTTGAAATAACAGAGGCCGATTTGATTAAAATAATCCACAGTATGGCGAATAAAAAGTCTGCTGGACTTGATGATATCTCTCCTTATTTGTTAAAATCATGTATACCTTATATTGCTAAACCGCTCTTAGAATTGGTTAACGCATCAATTAGAGATGGTATATTTCCATCTATATTAAAAAAATCGGTCGTTTCCCCTATTTATAAAGGGGGGACTAAGGAAGATGCAAGTAATTATCGACCTATCACACTTGTTCCTACTTTCTCTAAGGTCTTAGAAAAAGTAATAGTTAATCAACTAATAGCCTTCTTAGATAAACATAATATTTTAAATAAATTTCAGTTTGGTTTTAGAAAGAAACATTCTACTAATGATGCTATTGCCACAGTTATTGAAAATATAATAGATAACTTGAATGATAAAATAAATTGTAATTGTGTCTCTTTAGATCTATCAAAAGCATTTGATTGTATTCAGCACAACATTCTTATGGATAAATTATATAAATATGGTGTCCGCGGTATTCCACATATGTTAATTAAATCTTATCTTACAAATAGAACACAACAGGTGAAAGTTTTACATAGGGAAACCAATGAAATAAAGGAATATCTATCGAGTAGCCTGCCAGTTAAATTTGGAGTCCCTCAGGGATCAGTTCTTGGTCCTTTGCTTTTTATTTTATATATAAATGACTTTCCTCACCTAACACAAGGTAGATCTATAATGTATGCTGATGATACTTCAATCTTGAATATGGGACAGAATATAAATGAACTCCAATATATAACTTCAACTAATATTGGAGTTGTGGAAAAATACTTTGAGATGAATGATTTATTCATAAATCCAACTAAAACGCACTGCATTTTTTTTCAAACAAAGCAATGTAGGCAGGACTATAAATATAAAATTTTAGTTAAGAATATGGAAATAGAAAATGTGAATAGTATAAACTTTTTGGGTGTGGAAATAGACAGCACCTTGAGTTGGGATGTTTATATTGATAGAACCTGCAGTCGAATTAGTCGTAACTTGTTTTTATTAAATAGACTTGCTAAATTATTAGACCTAAAGGGCAGAAGAATGTTGTATTATGGCTTGATCTTCCCCTTTTTATCATATGGAATTGTAGTATGGGGAAACAGTGCTAAGGCACTTACTAAAAGAATTTTTATTCTTCAAAAAAGAGCCGTACGGTACACTGCTGGGCTAAAACCCTTAGAATCTTGTAGAGACAGTTTTATACAACTAAAGATTTTAACATTATATTCAATGTACATATTTCAAACCATTTTATATGCAACTAATAAGTGTAACTGTACGGTAAATAAACAAGTACACACTCACAATACTAGAAACAAAAATGACTACCATAAATGGGTGCATAACTTAGAACTTTATAACAGCAAACCTTCCGTTGCTGGCTGTATCTTTTATAATAAATTACCCAATAGTATTAAACAGCTTGACAATAAAAACCAGTTTATAAGGGAACTTAAGAATTTGCTCATAAATAGATGCTACTACTCAATTGATGACTATATGAATGATAAATTCTGTAATGCTGGACAGTTATATATGCTGCATGTGATATTGCATTACATATTTTGTGAATTTGTTGGTTTATAATTTGTTGTAATTTTGTTGGTTTTATAACTCGTTTCATGAGATATGGCCTACTTTAATGTGGTCTGATCTGTGATATGGGTAAATATGAATTAATTAATGTATAGATAATTCTGAATTATTGGAATTGTTACGTGTTTGATGTAAATACTCATTGCATATTTGCGAGTTTATTGGTTTTGATCTTATTGCATCTTGCTAATTTTATAATTTATTTGAGTGAATGAATGTTTGGATAAATTTTGTTATGCTGCATATTGATATATGCTAGATATGATAGTCATTACATATTTTGTGATTTTATTTGTTATGAATTCTCGCACCTTGCTAATTTTATAATTTATTACTTGTGTCATGTTCTACACCTGTGTGGTCCGATCTATGGATAGTAAATATTGAATATATGAATGTTTGGATAAACTATGATATATTAGATTATGATACATGCTAGATGTAAATAATCATTACATATCTTGTGTGTTTACTGGTTTAGAATCTGCTGTATTTTGTTAATTTTATAATTTATATTATGTGACATGTCCTATATCAATGTAAACTGATCTACAGGATGAATAAACAT